GGACCATGGGCAGTTAAGCTCTCCTAATATTTGGCTCATTCCGTATTTGCATAATTGCCCTTCCCGACACTGGGCAGTTCAAAACCCAAGTTCTCCTAGCTCTTCTAGCTCCCAAGATCAACCAGCAAGGACCTAAAACTGGTTAAGAAACTCCCTATCCAGATAAATCAGGATACAGAACTGCCTAGGAAATTCACTTCTTAGAGAAGAACTGGGAAACAGAAAAAAAGTTTTCAATTACCTTCACGAGATTATTTCTTCACGTAGTCCTACTGCTTGTAAGGTGATGGCAGCAAATGTTTGCTAATGAATCATTAACCATTGTTGAGAAAGAAAAACCTATTTTCCCCCTGAGATATTTTCTTACCGTTCTTTGTTACAGAAGTAAACAGTGGGACACCATGTTTTTGTGTTTGTCTGTTTTGAACGTTCCCAGGAACACCAGGGTGGTTAAGAGACAGAACAGTTCAAGGGTGAAAACAGAGACAGACAGATAAGGTGAATTTAACATTTTTACTAGAATTCTGAAAGAAATACGCTACCCTGATATGTTTATCACCAAATTCCTCATTTCACTCCTCTATACAATCTGTGGTAATCTTCCAATGATAATATAAGGCAACAGCTGAGGGCCCTTACCCACACCGCTCTCAGATGGATGTCAGACCTCAAGATTCACCAAAAACTCCAAGGTTTTTATTTTCACTTTAATTATCTTTTACTTAATAATAAAATGAAAAATAAGAATATATGAATACATACAATCTATATACATATATTTATTGCAAATACTTAAAATTCTTATGTAAAATGATTTTTCTATATTTGTGAAAAAATATGACTTTTTAAATGGTGTTGACACCAACTTCTCTGTACATACCCTCAATTCCAATGTTAACAATTCCTTTAAAAAGGCAAAAGACACAAAAGTTTAGCATTTACCAAACCAGTCTGTACAAACCTTATAAGCCAGAAGGAAAAAAAATAGCTTGTGGTAAATAAGTTGATTTTCTTTTAAAATAAAAAATAAACTTCAAAACTATTCCCCTTATTGCATTTCTCGGAAATAATCTGAGTGTCTTTAGAGTAACTTCCTTTGTAATAATTTGTGCCTTAACAGTGAGGTCCTACATTAAACATACCATATATGAGAAATTCAAAGTCTTCCACTGTCACTTTTTACATAGATATTAAAATATATATTACTTAAAATATATTACTGGAAAGCTATTTTTAAAATTGATCTTTAATAGTTGTATCAAATGTAAAGCATTAAAAAAAATAAAGTAACCAAGAATCTATGAAGCTCTTACTTCAACTTTAGGAAATGTTTCACCTATTGTTCCCTTTCAATAGGTATGTAGGTACTGAAACATGGCAGGAAAGATCCCTGCCTATCATCATGTTTCTCAGAGTCTCTTTGGACTATTCTACAAATTGAGCTGAAAGCTACCACTGGCCAAGTTTTTTTACTTAGCACGTTGTTGTAATGCAATGGGAACTTTTCCCTCCTTGCTGTGAAAGTGAAACCTCTAGGTCACAGAGAAAACCCTGGCGCTGCTCACGGACAGTGAGTTCTAGAAATAAATAGTGGTGTATTGACCAGAGAAGACCCCCTCATTATAACAAGTCATTTCACCGAACAGTTCTTTAAGGACTCTAAGGTAGAGAAAGGCAATTAATAAGCAATTAGGATGGTCACTGTCAAGTTATTAATACATGTGAATTTACACCTTCACCCAGAAGGCAACGAGGTCTTCCTTTGGCTATTTATTTAAATCTGAGAGAATTCCTAAAACACATACATCTGGGTGCCTTCCCAGCCCATGCTAGTATGCTTCCCCTACCCCAAGAAAAACGTCCCATTTGCCAGATCTTATTCTTAGAAATGTTACATGGGACATCACATATAGTTTCACTATCTTGAGCACAGGGTTTAAGGAATAGTAGGGCAAACACTCCAGGTTATTTGGCTTTATTTTGTTTAATAGGCTGGAGAATTTTCGTGGAAATTTTTTTTTAAGATTCAGGGAGCCTTCTCTACTAGACAACTCAGAACATTCATTAAGACTGAGATGATTATTGTTAATGCTCTCTCCCCAAGGTGACCTACAAAGGAAGGTATCTGAAGGCTGAGAAGCATACCCTGGAGGTATAAGCATCAGGCACAATGCCTGACTAGTCACTGGAAATAGTGCAACTACATACCACAAAAATAAGCTTAGCACTTATCCACAACCTTTCAGATTGAACTGAAAGGTAAAGCAACTCTGAAAACCTAAGATAAAAGCTGCTTCAAAGGTACTGGAGTCCCATGCTCTTAACAACACAAAGATCTTTCTTGTTCCTACTGCTTCATTTTCAAAAGAGTCAGATTGTAATACGGTTGGATTGTTGCTCTTGCTTTTCTGTTCAGCTCTTAAAATGACTTTCTACCTGAAACCACTGTTTTGAAACGAACTGACAAATGGATTGTATTTAATTTACTACCAACCCAAAAGAATCTATTCTCTCATTTTGTCAAGATTGAGGCAGTGTACCTAGACGACAAATTCTGTTTTAGGGACATTTGTAAATGCAAATATTTCATTAGCTGAGTATTATTTGTTAGGAGAATCTGGGGAATCATAATGCTTAGGGCCTATCTGCAAGAGCCTGGTCAAGATGAAGAGGCACAATACGGTCTGCTCTCCAAGTGGACTTGAAAATCCCTGATACGTTTCCTCCTTTCCTGGTTAGTCTGTCCAACCTCAGATTAGGAGAACCATGGAAGAGAGACTTTCTATGACAGCAAAGGCGCAAAGAAGAAAACTCACGTTGATCAATCCAAACTGGTAATTAACGTTCAGCATGGGGTCCGTTCTGAATCACTCAGGCACTTCCAGCGCACAGACCGCCTTCGGTCCTGGCACGGACACAGGGAGTGAAGAAGCAAAGTATGGGGAGTCTAACCCAGCAATAGGTGCTTTGAACTCCCTCCCTTGGACTGTCCAGGGTACTGACAGTCTGGGGAACAGAAGCATGGTTTCTGTTTCCTACTGGATCTTGGCTGGAGAACTTAATCCTTACCCCTGTATCCTTGCAGCCTTCATATTTTTAAGCCACGAAGAAAACGGGAAGTTAGGAGGGCATCCTATTGTCTCAGCTGAAACTGGAACACAGATATTAATCTTGTATTTGCCTTGGGTCGCAAAAAATTAACAAAAACAAAAACTGAAGAATAGTGTAGCAGTAAGTTTCTTATGGGGTTCAAAAGTATTACAAGCATGTGTATTATGGGGCAAGGAGGGGAATGGGTAACAGAATGGGGAAGAGTGTTACTGTCTACTTTCTCCTAATCTGGAATGTGACTTAATAAGTTTACACTGTTCTGCATATGGTAAATATCACATCCTGAATACTAAGTACAACCACAAGTGTACTAGGTTGCAATAATATTTTTACTTTATACACTTGAAATTAGGAAACTTAAAATCAATATGCAAAAGATGCACATTGACAACACCCAATTCTTCGATACCAAATTCTGATAAACTGTAGATTTATTCTAATGTTCTTTAACCATGACCTAAATATATGTACTCAAAAACTCTTCAGTCATCAGAGACAAGATTTAAAAGAATAAAAAAGGAAACAAAAAAAAGTCAACAAAAACAAATAACAAAACTGTGAAGCTAATTTCTCCTTTCTAGATGTTCCCTTAGCCATTTACTGAGGCCCCTTTACATTAGAAATCTCTAGTGCATAGATACCAGTAATCCAAAATAGAGGACAGGTTTTCTCAAACAGGAAAAGTGTCTAACTTTTACTGTATGCATGCACACTGTGTTCAGAGTCATATAGAACAAGGTTCTTCCATACTCCTCAGATGCCTGGGAGGTCCAAACAGGCTTAACAGAACGGGCAAATGTGACAGCCAAGGGCTTTTCTTCCTGCAGCGACAGCAGGACTACAGAACATCAGGGAACGGGTTGGGCAAGAAGAGGAAAAGAAAGACTACCTTGTTTCTAGTGTTAAAACCATTTTCCAAAGTTCTGTATGTTCAGTTTAACAATTTCTGCACTTTTACTCCTTTGCCCAACAAAACACATAGTTCAAATCACCCCATCATTAATATTATTTGTTACTTTTGTCCTAGTATTTCCTACCTGTTTGTAAGCTCCACGACTGACAAAGTACTTGGATGTTATTGCCGGAACTGCTGCCCTGCACAGGCGACAGTAACAGCAGGGGCCCGGAGAGGCATCCCCTTTATGGGCCACATTCACAGTCTCAGGGCAGGGTAGTGGGACTTGAGGGCAGGGATCCACAAACTGCAAGCTGAGAGCTTGGCAACAGCACGGGTTTGTGGAAGCCAAGAACCAGGTCAAGAGCTTTTGGAGTCTGAAATACTACCTGTGAAATTAACATCTTATGAAAAATTTGAACTTAAGAAGGTTCTTCCTGTCTAAGATAAAGGGACTGAGCAAACCCTGACTCCAGATTCTGCAAAGGCTGAATAATCCATGTAAAGCCTGCAGTCAGACTGTCATGACATAATCGGCTTGAATGGTCCTTTCTCCAGACCATCCCTTCAACTCCTTCCTTTTCCTGGCCACTTAGGAAAGGACAGAAGAGAGACAGCTTCCTGTAACCATGCATGGCATTAAAGTTTTCTCAGAGTCACATGAAGCAGAACATAAATCTGAATTTAAAGTAATACATCATTACCTAAACAGCTGGAAAAACGTTAAAACAAAATGTGACATATTTACATGATTTTGTAAGTGCAAACTTGTCACAAATTCACAAAGTCTTGCTTGACCTAGACTTACTATACAAGGTGCTCTTCCTCTAAAATGTAAGATCTGCACTCTGTATTCCTGATTAAGTAACATTTGTCTCTCAAGATAACTGAAACCTCCTTATTTATTTCTGTGATTCCCAAAGGATGCAAAAAACACATCTCGTCAACCCTTCCCTTCCTGCCTCCTTTACAGCATGTTCTCTTTCTAGTCTCGTTACCGAACGACAAGGCAGGAGACACAAAGTTTAGAGGGGCCGATGCAATCATCGTGGCAGAACGCTCCACACCCCTTGCACATGATCATGGCTTTCAATCGGCAGTAACATTTCGAAGGTGTGTCCTCTATGCTGTTCTCTTCAGGAAAGGCCTGAACAGGAATGGTCTGGCCATGGCTGCTGGGATTCATAGCTTGGCTAGCAGGGATAGTAGTGACAGTCACTGAAAAGGACATGACATCACCTACGTTGCTAGATACTTGGCTACAGTCAGGCATCCCCGGTACAGCAGAGTTAGGGTCCATGTCAGACGAGGTGGAGACATTGATCATGCCTCTGTAGCTTGGCCCAATCTGTGTGGGGCTTCCATATAGCTTTGGGGTTTGCAGTGGTGGAAGGAGGAGAGGCTGATGGGTGGGACTGTCTGCAGTCAGAGGGAGAGCAGAACTGAAAAGCTCAGGGCTGCTACGCATCGTCTTCCCTCTCACTGCATGAGCTATTTGTTTCTGTGCTGCCTGAATAAAATCTCGGGCTAGGGTTTTTTCATCAAATGTTTGGCCTCTAGGGAACAGGTAATTCTCCTTGCTTAAAGTGGTTTGCTCATGCACTGGTGTCTCCGCCTTCACATTCTTTTTTGCTAAACAATCATTGGTGGATGGGGTCTCTCTACTGTGGGGTCCTGAACTTGCTTCACACTTGCCAGAACCCTGGGAAGCCTGGGGCTCCTCCTTCACCATGATGGGTTCTTGCTCATCACCAGTACTTTCCTCATCAGTATCTTCTTCTTTGCCGCTGCTACTATCTCCTGTTGCATTTTTACAGTCTGTATATCCCACTTTCAAGGCCTCAGTGGGGCTACTTAGACAAAAACGGTCTTCAGGGTTTACAGAATGGGTCCTCCTAAAGCTCTCTGAACCCCGGCCATAGGTGGAAATGTTAAGTAAGTAGTGACCTGCCATTGCAGGCTTTGATGTCCTTCTGCCAGCAAAACCCAACATGAACCTCTGGCTTGTGGAGATATCCTCTAACTGGAAACCTGAGTGAGTGAAGCTGAACTGGGAGGGCTGCACAAACGGGAGAACATTCTGCCTCCGAACCCTCTGGATGAGAGTCTGAAGGATCTGATCTTGAGTGGCTTTACTTAGTCCTTCCTGGTATTGGTGTGTGTCAATGCTAGAGTCCCTCAGATCCTTACCTGTCAAGAGCTGGAGGGATCTTGGAACCTGGGGGAGCTGCTTATTTTGCAAGGTTTTACCCAGCGGCTGTAGACCTGGGCGAGACTGCCTCTCACTAACTTCCTCTCTGCTGATCTCTGTTGCGTTGGTGCCTGTGAGGGCTCCTACCCCCGGCTCCTCTCTTGTGGTCAGTGGAACAGTTTTCATTTCAACTTTGGTGAGAGGTTTGGGCAGAATTTGCTCCATGGGAACATCTTTGCCCTGAAGCAGCTGAGTGACCAAAGGATTATTCGCAGGGATACTAGAGCTTGGCCTTGAAATGGGTCCATTCATATTTGAAGAAGTTCCTGGAGTTTTAAGGCTAGAAGCTACTGGCAAAGTGCTCGAGGACGGAGCTGATCCGGTAGATGCTACAGTCACACTGACCTGGGGTACAGGAAGCTTTTCTAAAGTGGCTGCTGTCAATAAAGATGTTAAAGGAGAGGGAGTCATATCCACTGACGTACTAGCAGTTGTCTCTGCCGAGGCTGAAGGGTCTGGTATATTCTTACTAGAACCTACTCTGGGCTCAACTGTGCCGTCAGCTGCAAAACGAACAGGCGAGGCACCAGAGAGGAGAGCAGAATCTGTCGGAGCAGAAGGCGCTTTCTCCTGTCTGCAATCGTTGGGCCCTTGTGGGTGGGTAAGAGAGGCCACTGTGGCTGTTGCCCTGGTGGGATTCAGTTTTTCATTACTCAGTTTCCCTACAGCTGGTGGGGGTGCGTGAGTGTGGGCTGATGATGGGACACTTGTGCGTGCTCCACTGATGGCAGGTGTTGGAGGCACTGAGGGGGTTTGCTGTAGTTGTGCTCCAGAGACACTATGAGGCTGAGCCTGGTCTGGGGTCTTGGTCTCAGACTGGGGCTGAGTCTCTGGAACACAGGGTAAAAGCTCTCTCGTACCTCCCCTGCTTCCAGTTCCTGCCAATTCCAGTGCGGGGCCCTTTCCGGGTTCACGGGCTCTGTCTGAGTCTGGACTCCCTCCTCTAGCAGGCTTCCTTTCACCACCCTCTCCTGGACCTTGTCCACCCCCCGGGCCAGGTCCTGGAATGGTCCCTCCAACCGAGGCGGCGGCGGCAGCGGCGGCGGCGGCGGCGGCTGCTGCCCTCTGTGCTTTGACCAGCTGGGCTTTTGCTTTGATGTCTGCAAGAGTTCTGGCTCCTGTTCTGTTAGGACTAGTGATGGAGACTGGAAAACGAGCCCTGGGAGAGACCTGCGATGTAGGAAAAGGCATGGGGGAGATTCTGGAGACAGGTATCTGAAAGAAGGAGGGAGAAAAAGAAAACGCCAGAGCTTAGTTTTCACTTACAAGAGTAACAGAACTTCATCAACACTTGAATTTTCCCAGTAGGGTAAACACTGCACAACACCAGTGGCAATGGTGGCAGGTCCATGGCCAAGAGACCAGACTGCGGAGACAGCAACACGATTTCGTCTCCAGGATCCTTCCACCTCTTAGAGTGGTGCCAAAGTCTCTCCTCCCCCGACATCCTGTCCACCCCAAATCCCCATACAGCTTTTCCCAACACAACTCCCTCCTAATGGCATTACTACTCACAACTGCTTATTATTTACGATACAGACCTTTCTACGGTATTTGCGCTTTCAAAAGTGTGTGTGTGAGAAGCATACCACTGTCTTTGTCTTCCTAGCTCTCCTTCCAAGGTCCAAGGAAAAATTCTTGCTCTCTTCTGCTCTACACACATACACCCATGCACACTTAAGCATATAGGCTGAATTATCTCAATGACAGAGGCTTCTAGATAGCACTGGAAGACAGAGACAGTGTGTAATCCACAGACGCACCCCACTCTGCCCATCCCATGAGGAAGGATGCACATAATATATATGTTTGCTATAGTCATTCTCCTCCCTGGCTGGCTTAATACTTACTTGGGGAGCTTTTTAAACTTACTTGGGGAGCTTTTTAAAACTATATGCGCTCTGAGTCTTATCCCAAAATTTACAAATTAGAACCTAGGGAAAAATGCTTTTATCAGGTTTGAAACCACTGATTTTCATATCATGAAATATTGTATCTGAAAGGAATCTGACTCATATTTGAAACTATACTTCAGAAGCTATCAGAGTTCATTAGAATGCATCAAAGTCTGGCCCCTCCTAGTAGCTGCTAGAGTTTAAAGGAACAAATAACTATTACAGATGTTCTAGGGCATTTAATTAAAAAAAAAAAAAAAAAAAAAAA